TGCTACGATGCTGCCAGAACTTTGTTAGCCCCAAAATGGAAAGTACCAGAATTACCAACAATAGAGTGCGCAGACGAAGATGGTTGATTATGCGGAACTAGCAAAACTGACCTGTCGAATCTGAAATCAGGAGGGGAAGCAAAATTCAACAAGATTGGAGTAAATTTATGGAGTACATAAATAATAACTGTAGAAATCTGAAGACTCTGGCAGGACTGAAATAAATCTGACGATGTAGATAGGATGGGATACAATAAGAAACGGTGGAAAAGTAACTGACATAAGAAAACCTGTTGAAGGGAGGGGAAGGAAGTCAATGCTCAGCAGAGTGTGGGGAAAGAATGTGGGTAAATGATTGTTGAATTTTACTGTATTTTGTTTCTTTGTATTAAATGAAACACCAATAAAAAGCATTAAAAAAACCAAAAATCAGAAACTGATATTCAGAAGCATTGCTACACTCCTTCCTTCCTTCCTTCCTTCCTTCCTTCCTTCCTTCCTTCCTTCCTTCCTTCCTTCCTTCCTTGATAGCTCAGTTGGTTAGACTATGGTGCTGATAATGTCAAATCTGCAGGTCTGATCCCTGTATGGGGACAGCTGCATATTCCTGCATTGCAGAGAGTTGGACTAAGATGATCCTCGGACTCCCAGTTCTATGATTCCTTCTTTCCTTCCTGGAAAGGTTTCTCTCTCACCCTCTCCTTCTCCTTCTCCCTCTCCCCCCCCCTCTCTCTGGAGAAGACTAACTCCTACATTACTGGATAGATCATATGACTTTCCTTCTTCCAACAAACCCTCAATTGAGGATGATTAACTCGTCTTGTTATTATCCCACAATGTCAGCCTGCAGGAGAGAACTTCTAATAAACGTCTGAGATGAGCGCTCCGTTGCTGATGGAACTGTCAATTCCCCCCCAACCCCCAGATGGGTTCCTTCAATTTAATTTGTGCTTCTCCTGTCTTATGTAATTGGGAGAGGTGTGTGAAATCATTGAACAGAGGCAGCTACTCTTCCAGGACCGAAAGATAAGGAGGAGCTGATTGTGGAGAGTCCGTGTGGCATAGTGGTTAGACTCGTGTAGGTCTAGCATGTGGGGGACCAGGGTTCGAATCCACACTCAGTGGTGAAGCTCGTTGGGTGACCTTGGACCAGCCATTGTCCCTCAGTCTAACCCACCTCACAAGGCTGTTGTGAGGATGAGCCGGGAAGGAGCAGAACCATGTACCCCATCTTGAACTCCTTGAAAAGTTGGTGTGTAAATGTAATTAATAAATTGCAAAAAAGGAGCATGTGAATTGGCACAGGAAGAGTGTGAGCTGCGGATGTGCATTGCATGTTGGGTGGTACAACTTTGTTCTGGCTTAACAACATGATGTGTCACCATGAGAACGTCTCTCCTGTTCCCATCCCTGGTGCCTCACAGATCTTTGAGGACCTAAATTTAACAATGGGTTAAAATTACACAGGGATCCTGTCTTGAGGAGCACACCCTCCACATCTGGATGTTCTGAGATAAGGGTTGCCACAGCAACACCATCAAGGCCAAGTCATTCACCCTCCCATTGGTTCAGGAAATATGCCTACATGTAAGTAATGTAAAGGCAAAGGACCCCTGGACAGTTAAGTCCAGTCAAAGGCAACAATGGGGTTGCGGCACTCATCTCGCTTTTCAGGTCAAGGGAGCCGGCGTTTATCCACAGCTTTCCAGGTAATGTGGCCAGCAGGACTAAACCGCTTCTGGCGCAACGGGACACCATGACAGAAGCTAGAGCGCATGGAAATGCCATTTACCTTCCTGCCCCAGCGGTACCTATTTATCTACTTGCACTGGTGTGCTTCCGAACTGCTAGGTTGGCAGGAGCTGGGACAGAGCAATGGGAGCTCACCCCATCGAGCGGATTCGAACCGCCGACCTTCTGATCGGCAAGCCCAAGAGGCTCAGTGGTTTAGACCACAGTGCCACCTGCCTACGTGTAGAGATGGGTATAATAGTCTCTAGGCATTGCTTTCATTATGTTGTGTCCCATCCTCTTTGCTGTCAGGGTCTGATTCTGAATCTGTGAGAGTCAGGGGAAGAGGCTATGGGTTAGCTAGCATGGTGATGGTGTTACTGCACATATCTTTAATTCTAAGACCAGAAGAACTGTATATAGATAGTAATGTTTAGCTTTGTGTTGTGCCTGGAGACAATAAAATCTTTCTTACTTGGAACTGCATGGGAGAGGAGTTTTTCTCCTAAACAGGGACTCTGGAAAAGGCTGTCTGTTGGGAACAGGAAATCTCTACGACTCGGCTGGGGCTCTGCATATTTTGCTGACACATCACACAGATTGAGGTGTGGTGAACTGCCTTCCACAAGTCACCAGCAGGAAAGGCTCTCTCTTCTTCATTATACCTCTGCAGCTCGGCCTGCAACAAAATGCCGCAGTGTGGGTTGCCCCTTTTCAGAAAACTCCATTCCACTCCCCCAGCTCCTTGTTTTCTTTCCCCACCCCACCAGAATTAAATTAACTACATGCCTACTGATTATTCTAGTCCTCATTGGACTGTTTGTGGGCACCTTGGGTATCCCCGCCCTAAATAATAATTTGGGACTTCAGTAAATCTCGCCGCTTCCCAGACTGTATGTTGCTGTAATATAGAAAGGTGGTGTGCAAATGTGAAATGAAATGAAAGTGAAATTGAAACTTGCTGATAGCTGAGTTACTTAAATCTGCTGATTTCAATTGGCCTGTTCTGAGTAGGACTAGCATTGGATATCACCTAATGTTTCCTGGATCATTCCTTTCCATATGTTTATGAACACTCTCAAAGCACTCTAAAAAGTTAGCCAGCTACGACTTACTCTTGTGGAAGCCATGCTGCTTCTCTTTCACCAAGGCTTATTCTTCATATGCTTTGTGAGTGTTGTCTTTCACCAGTTTTCCCAGAACAGAGAAGTTAACCTAATTAGCCTCTGATTTCCAGGATCCCTAACCAGCTTCTAATTTCTAGAATCCAGATTCCCAGCCTCTAATTTCCAGGATTTTAAAAATTGGCGTTAACATTGGCCACTTTCTAGTTTTCGGTCATTCAGGGTAACATTTTGGTCTGGGGGACACCAGTACTTTGCCAGTATAGTGGTACCTTGGGTTAAGTACTTAATTCTTTCCGGAGGTCTGTTCTTAACCTGAAACTGTTCTTAACCTGAAGCACCACTTTAGCTAATGGGACCTCCTGCTGCCACTACGCCGCAGGAGCACGATTTCTGTTCTCATCCTGAAGCAAAGTTCTTAACCTGAAGCACTATTTCTGGGTTAGCGGAGTCTGTAACCTGAAGCGTATGTAACCTGAGGTACCACTGTACTAAATTACCCCTGGGGCCCAGTATGCCCTGACCCTTCCAGTTCTTGGGATCCTATATCTGTGGAGGTAGAACCAGTCCCTTTGTCCAGGTAATGGTTTTGCCGAATTTGTTAAGCACCACGATTAGCACACCCAATAAAGTTGTTCTGTGCCCCAAAACAAATGGGTAGGTCTGTCACACCTCACCTAGCTGCCAATTAGGAGGAGAAGTTTTGGGGTGTGAGCTAAGCTGAAAGCAGACTGGAAGCTGGAGACACAGAGACTTCCTTGCTCTGTGCTGGGTCCAAAGCTGTGGCTAATGGAGAAACAAGATCTGTTGGGGTGTCATTGCTTGGAGCCCCTCCATCTTAGGCTCAGGTTGTAAAGGTAAAGGGACCCCTGACCATTAGGTCCAGTTGCGGACGACTCTGGGGTTGCAGCCTCATCTCGCTTTACTGGCCGAGGGAGCCAGTGTACAGCTTCCAGGTCATGTGGCAGCAGGACTAAGCTGCTTCTGGCGAAACCAGAGCAGCGCACGGAAACACCGTTTACCTTCCCGCTGGAGTGGTACCTATTTATCTACTTGCACTTTGACGTGCTTTCGAACTGCTAGGTTGGCAGGAGCAGGGACTGAGCAACGGGAGCTCACCCCGTCGTGGGGATTTGAACCGCCGACCTTCTGATCAGCAAGTCCTAGGCTCTGTGGTTTAACCCACAGCGCCACCCGTGTCCCCAGGCTCAGGTGGTACATATGTGTAAATATAACCATATATCCTAAAGACACTGCAGTCTCCGCTGAGCTTCATTCCTAGGAAGCTGAACAGTGGGCAAACTCTGGAGCCCCTGGGAGCTCTTAGAGATTGCGTCAGAGAAAATTGTGTCCCACTGGCTCTTTCCATTCTGCTAGGGTTTGTCTATGCCATGGGTAGGCAAACTAAGCCCGGGGGCTGGATGCGGCCCAATCGCCTTCTAAATCCGGCCTGCAGACGGTCCAGGAATCAGCGTGTTTTTACATGAGTAGAATGTGCCCTTTTATTTTAAATGCATCTCTGGGTTATTTGTGGCGCCTGCCTGGTGTTTTTACATGAGTAGAATATGTGCTTTTATTTAAAATGCATCTCTGGGTTATTTGTGGGGCATAGGAATTCATTCAATTTTTTTCCCCAAAATATAGTCCGGCCCCCCACAAGGTCTGAGGGACAGTGGACCGGCCCCCTGCTGAAAAAGTTTGCTGACCCCTGGTCTGTGCCCATCTTTAAGTACTCCAGTTTGCCCACCTTAGCTCAGAGGCACCTGACATTATTGTATAAACAGCTGTGCATGTTCTTCTTTTTCAAATGTTTTTGGCACACACATTTTACCATCCTGGGCTTTCGCCTTTCTGACACCCCTCACTTGCGCCAAATTTAGTGTGCAAACACAAAGGTGCTTCAAAAACAACCTGTTATGTCCCCTGTGCATGGAAAGCGATCCTAAATATTCCTTTGAAAGTTGGGGAGCGAGTTCGAGTGAGCCACGGGCGATCGCCAAGTCTGCAAGGCAGGCCTCTGACTCAGATCTCCGCCCGAGACTTGAGCGAGTGGGGTGGCCAGGGCAGAGACAGGGGTGTGGCTGGAGAATACGCTCAGGTAGCACATTAGCGCCATGCTCATTGACGGTGTGCTGACCACAACGCTACAGTAGAAATAGAAAAGTAATTTATTAATCTTTTCTCTTTTTTTCTTTTTGCTATGTACAAGTTTAATGGAGGAATCTTGGCGTCTGCAACAATTAAAAAGAACAGGGTTTTGCGTCTCATTTCCCCTGTTTTTGAACATTCAATGGTTAACAGAAGGAGGTGCGCCCAGCTCTCGCTACATTGCTAATTTTCGGTCATGCGGTCTTTTCCGGAGACGATTGTTACCAGGCAGGGCAGAGGAAGGGGGCAACAGGAGTCTCATGGGCTCCTCACCCCTGTAATTCCAAAAATACACCTTTGAAAGTGACAGCCCATAGACAGCGGCTTTGACAAAATGCATGCCATAGGGGGAGAGAGAAAGAGGGAGAGGGGGGAGGAAGGGGGAACAAAATATCCACAAACACCACAGTGCTGCCAATCCAAAGATGTCAACCTCGTTTGGGCAACATAATCCAGGATTTTGACTCGGTCCCAATTAAATTCTGGTGCTAAAATAAAACAAATATCAAAGTCGCAAGCCAGGAACCACAGCCTTTCTTCATTTCTAGCTATCACAGGCGGTCAGGGATTCTTTAGTTGAGATTCCTGCATTGCAGGGGGTCCCGGGGTCCCTTCCAACTTTACAGTTCTGTGATTCTATAAATATCCCAAGGGGCTTATATAGAAGTCAATAACTTGTCTACACAATCACAACGGCCTTCCTAAATCTGGCGGCCCCCCACCCCGATGTTTTAATTAATTAATTAATTAATTAATTGCATTGAAATTATATACCGCTTGACTGTAAAAACGAAATAAAACCGAAAGCAGTTTGCAAAAAAGAACAAAACCCTATTTTTTTAAAAAGGGGAAAACAATTAAAACATTAAAAAAAAATTAAAACCAGCAATAATTTTTCTTCTTTTTCTTCTTCTTAAAACAGCATTTTAGATAACTGGCAGGCTTGGCTCAACAAAAATGTTTTTAGCAGATACTGAAAAGAGTACTTTGAAGGCGCCTGTTTGATCTCAATTGGCAGGGAGTTCCAAAGGTGTAGGTGCCAACACACTAAAATATAGATTGCTTACAGGTGTGGAAGGGATGTCATGGGTCACCTCTAGCAGTGCTGGCTGGGGGTGATGGGACTCATAGACCAAAAACATCTGGAGTACAATCAATCAATCAATCAATCAATCAATCTAAAGCCCTACATGGCTTAGGTCCAGGCAACCTGACAGACCATATTCCCACATATGAACCTGCCCAGTCTCTGAGATCTTCAGTGGAGGCCCTTCTCTCGGTCCCGCCACTCTCACTGGAGTGCTTTGTGGGGATGTGGGACAGGGCCTTCTCGGTGGTGGCTCCTCCTGGGCAACTTTGGAACTCCCTCCCTAGTGAGGCTAGACAGGCTCCCTTCTCCCTGCTCTTCCACCTGCAGGTGAAGACCGTTTCATTCCAACAGGCCTTTGGGAAGTGTTTGTTCAAAAAAGGGCTTCTAATAGCACTTGGCTGTTTCCATCATCTTATCTTTCCATAGTCTTTTAATTCTGTTAGAGCTCAACTGCTTATCTCTCATAACTTTTTAGCTCTTCGCACTTTATCCACGCTGCGTATTTTCATTTGCAAGCAGGTCTGGGACGGCAAACGTGGGAACGACGATAAATAGAACGGAAAGGGACTAAATCGGAAGCTACGGGGTTGACTCCTTAGGCTTCGGCAGACCTGAACCAATTCACTATAAGTTGGCGGTACGAGAAAAAAAAAAACGGGAACGCCGCAAAGGGAGGGAGTCCGCCTGCCTAGATCTCGTTCTGCTCTTTCGGGTCGTCGGCCAGGCCATCGTACTCGACGGATCGCGGAGACATCCCCAAGTACTGCTTCAGAAACTCGCTGAACCTCTTCTGGTTGTGCCACTTGCGAGCCGATTTCCGGACCCCAATGAAGCCTCCAAACCGCTTCTGGAGCTCCTGGACTCCGGCTTCCCCTACCGGCTCGTAACCAAACGGCCCGCTCAGGAAGCCGCTCACCCCTTTCGGTATGTCGAGCTGGGCCGGCAAGTCCCTCAGCAGAGCTTGGACCCCGTCGCCGTCTCCACCTTCCGCTTGCCGGAAGAGGCCGCTCGTCTTGGACACCCCCTTCTCGCTCCCGGCCTTGTCGAGGTCCGCCGCCCGGGCCAGGCTGCCGAGGCGTTTCAGGCCGCCTCGGCTTGGCCGCAGGCCGCCGTCCCACATTTCCAAGGGCCGGCTGGTGTCATCTTCCGGGCTGTCGAGGTCGAGGGGCAAAGGAGCCTTGCCGCCGGTGGCTTTTCTGCACAGCCCCCAGGTGGCGCTGGAGAGCAGCTTCCCCTCGCACTCCATGACGCAGATCTGCAAGAAGGGAGGAAGGAAGAAATAATTTCAGGAGGAGCGTGTGTGTGTGTGCTTTTAATTTCGGGAGTATTGCACCGGCTGCGGTTACGTTAATCATCTTTCTTTGAAGGAGGAAAGCTAGGAAAGGGCCATTATTAAAATAGCTGCAGGCTATTTTAAAATGAATCTCTCTCTTTTTAAACTTAAGAAGACTGTAAGCACTGTTACGGAAATAAAAGGGGGGGCACACCTTTAAAGTTGTTAAAGGTAAAGGAACACCTGACCATTAAGTCCAGTTGTAGCCGACTCTGGGGTTGTGGCGCTCATCTCGCTTTATTGGCCGAGGGAGCCGGCGTACAGCTTCCAGGTCATGTGGCCAGCATGACTAAGCCACTTCTGGCGAACCAGAGCAGCGCACGGAAATGCCGTTTACCTTCCCGCCGGAGCGGTACCTATTTATCTACTTGCACTTTGATGTGCTTTTGAACTGCTAAGTTGGCTAGAGCAGGGACCGAACAATGGGAGCTCACCCCGTCGCGGGGATTCGAACCGCCGACCTTCTGATCGGCAAGTCCCAGGCTCTGTGGTTTAACCCACAGCGCCACCCAACAAATATTATGACTGAATGTATCCTTTCGACGACAGCTAGATACCTAGCTTTATAAATTCGTAGAAAATCCATACTTTAACTGACTCTCCTCATTTCAATGCCATTCAACCCTTAAAGAAAAGTGAATTTGGGCTTCACCTCCCTGTGTACCTTTTTTGCCTAAAAGGTAAAGGTAAAGGTACCCCTCCCCGTACGGGCCAGTCTTGCCAGACTCTAGGGTTGTGCGCTCATCTCACTCTATAGGCCGGGGGCCAGCACTGTCCGCAGACACTTCCGGGTTACGTGGCCAGCGTGACAAGCTGCATCTGGCGAGCCAGCGCAGCACACGGAAACACCGTTTACCTTCCCACTGGTAAGCGGTCCCTATTTATCTACTTGCACCCGGGGGTGCTTTCGAACTGCTAGGTTGGCAGGCGCTGGGACAGAACGACGGGAGCGCACCCCGGCGCGGGGATTCGAACCGCCGACCATGTGATCGGCAAGTCCTAGGTGCTGTGGTTTTACCCACAGCGCCACCCCCATCCCACACCTTTTTTGCCTACCCATGGTCTAATGCAAAGACTGGTCCCAGATAGCACGGGATGACAAGGTTGAATTGCTGGCATTGGGTCAAGTGGTGACACTTCGCTTGTATTTGAGGAGGTCCCAGTCTTGCATATATTAGCAGGTAGCCAGGAGATATCCCCCCCCCAGACCCCAAACTTTCTCTGTTCATCTCTTCTCACCCCATAACTAATTGATTGCAAACAGGTTCTTAGAGGGATCACTGACTTCCATCAGAAGTCAATTATAAGACAGTAACTTCCTTCCCCCCCTTTGCTGGAAAGGAATTGAATTCACAGCAAGGGGTCTTTGAGTGCCAAGAGCGAAGAACCCAACTCACTTTTCACGCTCAGGTTGCTAAACTGCTTTCTTCTGCAATCAGGCTACTGTTTCCAAAGGCTTCCCTTCTCCACCCCCAACTTTCATTAACAGGTGAACTGCTTGCATTTAATTCTACCCACAGTGTGTGTGTGTGTGTGTGTGTGTGTGTGTGTGTGTGTGGCGGCTTGTCTGTATTTTTTTAAAACGCAGCCCTGCAAAAGTTTAGCTGTCTATTTATTCTGCACAGCCTGACTCAAGGAAGAGCAAAGTGAGGAACTTGGACTAATTATAAGTTCTGAAGTTCCCTGGGTCTTCTGAGCAGAGAGTTCTACATTTTTTGTCCCGAATGGCTTCTTCACGCAGAAGGGAGGCCTTTTGAAATTGCCCTCGCTTTGGCAAACTGAGCCATAGCTGTCAACTTACAGATTCGAAAATAAGGGACCAGCAGCCTCGAAAATAAGGGATCAGCAGCCAAAATAAGGGATCAACAATTACTTTGATAAAATACATATTTTATTGCGTGCAAATTGCTTTAGATACCTATTAGGACCATAAATTACCATATAGCATATATTCAACACAAAAAAACAGCAACAATTTGTTGTTGACAAAGGACAGCTGGACATAGAAAGGGCCCCATTACCTTCAGTAGCTTATTTAAGGGACATCATCAATAAGGGACAGCAGCGGGACATGGCGCTGGGATAAGGGACTGTCCCGCCAAATAAGGGACACTTGACAGCTATGAACTGAGCTGAGATATTTGTTCAGCTCCACCACGTGGCCTGACTCTACAGCTTCAAGAGACATTGCTGGTGACGGCTGATCTCATGTGGGGGCTGAACTGTGTGGGGAGCCAGCGTGCTGTGAGCTCACTGACCAGGCACATTAATGCAGGGGGAAGCTCCCAGGGCAGGGGTAGGCAAACTAAGGCCTGGGGGCCGGATGCGGCCCAATTGCCTTCTCAATCCGGCCTGTGGACGGTCTGGGAATCAGCGTGTTTTTACATGAGTAGAATGTGTGCTTTTATTTAAAATGCATCTCTGGGTTATTTGTGGGGCATAGGAATTCGTTCATCCCCCCCCCCCCCGAGGTCCGGCCCCCCACAAGGTCTAAGGGACAGTGGACCGGCCCCCTGCTGAAAAAGTTTGCTGACCCCTGCTCTAACCACTGCACCAAGCTAGCAGAGAACCTCTGCCTTCTGCAGTGCCCTTGGAGTGAGATTCGAGGTTGCACCCATTGCGTGTGTGTGTGTGTGTGTGTGTGTGTGTGTGTGTGTGTGGCTGGTGGCGAAATTGGCATTTCCCTGAAATGAGGCGGCTGACTAAATGAATCTTAATGACCTGTCCACTGCATTTTCTTAATGGGCAGGAGATGGTTTGCCAGCACCATGCGGAGTCCAGCCCAGACAGCTGAAGCTGGCTTCGCTCCTTGGTTTGCTAATTCATTCATTCATTCATGCATGCTTTCATTCATTCATTCATTCATTCCAATCCACAAACCGTCCAGCCATGACAGTATCAGCTGTGGAAAGGAAACCCTCCAAGGTCAAGGGCATTTTGAGGCGAAGGATCCTGTCCATGCCTTAATTTCAGAGAAGCCCTCTTTGGTCGTATGGCAACCAGAATGATCAAGGAGATGGAGGGACTCCTCTGTGGGGGAATAAAAGGTTGCAGCGTTTGGGACTATTTAATTTACATCACAGGATGTGGCTGGATGGTTACGTGGGAGCCAGTTGAAGTTAAATCCTTCGAAGACAGAGATCCCTTGGCTGGGTCGGGACGATATGGGATTGGGGGGGGCAACTCCCATCTCTTGCAGGGGCGCAATTAGTGCCAGCACCGTCCGTTAAGAGTTTGGGTGTAATCTTCGACACCTCCCTTTCCATGGAGGCGCAGATTGCAGCTATAACAAAGGGGGCATTTTTCCATCTCCGCCAAGCTAAGCAGTTGGCTCCTTACCTCTCTCGCCCTGACCTAGCCACTGTGCTCCATGCGACGGTCACCTCCAGACTGGATTATTGTAAATCGCTCTACGTGGGGCTGCCCTTGAGACTGACCCAGAAACTCCAGAGGGTGCAGAATGCCACGGCGAGACTCCTTACGGGGTTTTCGCTGCGAGATCACATTCACCCAGTTACTATACCAGCTGCACTGGCTCCCAGTGGAGTCCAGGATCAGGTTTAAGGTGCTGGTTTTAACCTTTAAAGCCCTAAACGGCCTAGGACCCTCGTACCTACGGGAACGCCTCTCCTGGTATGTCCCACGGAGGACCTTACGGTCTTCAAACAAAAAGATCTTGGCGGTCCCGGGCCACAGGGAGGTTAGGCTGGCCTCAGCCAGAGCCAGGGCTTTTTCGGTCATGGCCCCGACTTGGTGGAACGCTCTGTCCCAAGAGACTAGGGCCCTGCGGGACTTGACATCTTTCCTCAGGGCCTGCAAGACGGAGCTGTTCCACCAGGCCTTTGGCCAAGGCACAGTCTGACCCCCTCCTTCGGTAATACTCAAAGAACTCTAGCTCAGTGGTTGCCATTAATCTGATTTGAACTGATTTTATAATGAATTGATTTTAGAATGCTGTATTATTTTACTGTTGTTAGCCACTCTGAGCCTGGCTTCGGCTGGGGAGGGCGGGATATAAATAATTTATTATTATTATTATTAAGAGTTTATAAAATCATGCATGACATTGAGAAAGTGGATAATTTTTTCTCTCCCTTTCTCATAACACTGGAAGTCGTGGACATTTGATGAAGCGGGATATTGGACGATTCATGACAGATACAGTAGAAGAAAGGACTTCTTTACAGAATCAGAGAATTATAGAATTGGAAGGGTCCTCTAGAGTCATCTAGTCCAGCCCCCAAGGGCTGCCCTGGGGCACAGGATATCTGGAAGGGACCAGATGGGCAAAGACCTCTTCTGGATTCACTTTCTGTTTCAGAGATGCTTCACAGGAGTTTGGGAGGGAGTTATCCTAAAATAAGCTTATTGCGCAGGCAGGTGCGAATCGGCGGGACTGGAACACGCTTCCAAGGTGGGCTCAGATGGTGACCTAGATGAATGCAGACGGATGCCTTGGCGATGATCTTTCTTTAGGGTCCCACTCAATGAGAAATGGAGCCAGGGCAGGGAATGGCTGGGACATAAATTCTCATCAAATGGGAAGGAGGAAGCGCCAGAAGCGGGAGAGGGAGAGGGAAGGAGAAAAAGGCCATCGCAAAAAGTGTCACTGTTGATCAGCCAAGGAGGGAGGAAAAGCGTGGAGATGAGAACGGTGTTTAACTCTTCCTTTGAAACCTGGTGTTTGAGCTGCCAGGACTGGAGCTTGGAAGGCGGCCCAAAATCATTGCTGGCATATCAAGAACAAGCTGGTGCTAGCATTGGGCAGAGTGAGGCAGGGGCCTCAGGTGGCCTGTCTTGAGTTTTGTGTCAGTTTTGGTCCCTTTTTCCCAATCTTATGTTCAGTTCTCCACATTTCCACATGATGCTGTGAGGGTGGCACAGGGACGCAGGTGGCGCTGTGGGTTAAACCACAGAGCCTAGGACTTGCTGATCAGAAGGTCGGCGGTTTCAAATCCCCGCGACGGGGTGAGCTCCCGTTGCTCTGCCCCAGCTCCTGCCAACCTAACAGTTTGAAAGCACATCAAAGTGCAAGTAGATAAATAGGTACCGCTCCGGCGGGAAGGTAAACGGCGTTTCCATGCGCTGCTCTGGTTCTCCAGAAGCGGCTTAGTCATGCTGGCCACATGACCCGGAAGCTGTATATCTCGGCCAATAAAGCGAGATGAGCGCTGCAACCCCAGAGTCGGTCACGACTGGACCTAATGGTCAGGGGTCCCTTTACCTTTACCTTTACTAAAAATTCACCAGCACTTCAGTGCAAATGCATGCAATTCTGCCTAATATACACATTTTTGCAAAGCAATCTCCCCTAATTTGTTCTTCGTTGCACTTCTGTACAAACTACTTGCCTGGAGAACCTCATTGCAAAATTCAGAGAAGTGCAAATTTCAAAGGATGTGCATTGGTTCACAAATGATGGATCAGGTAGGTTTGCCTGGCAATGGCTGCCATATGACCCAAGCCCGCCGCTGCTTGGACTACTCACCAGAAGGCTGAAGTCATCCTGCTGGTGGCTGTACAAATGTCTGTGGCAGTTCAGGCAGTCTCTCCGGCAGTCGCTGAGGGCGTAAGCAAGCAGGCAGAACGACAAGACGTTCCAAAGGAGGAGCCTCATGGTGTCAGCTCTCAAAAACCTGCAAAAAGGAACCGGGGAGAGTGGAATGGTCAAGAGATGGAACTGTCCTTGCCCGTTCCCTGACTCTGGGTCACTAGAAGTGGAAGAAAACTCCAACCCAGTAGGTTTTTTGTCATTCTCGCCAGTCCTGCGGGATTGCCTCCCCACAGAGGTTCATACATAATAATAATAATAATAATAATAATAATAATAATAATAATAATAATAACAACAACAATATTTTCTTTATTTATACCCTGCCCTCCCCAGCCAAGACCGGGCTCAGGGTGGCTAACGCCAAATATAAAAACAATTGATTGAAATACAGCTTTAAAAACAAGATTAAAATACAACACCAAAGCATTAAAATGCAATCTCATTTCAGTGGAAACTCAAATCAAAAACATTTTGGGGGGATAAAACGTCAAGTCTTCACCAATGCTAACTATCCAGGCTGGTCCTTCATGGGCCAGGAAAAAGCCAGGGAAGTCCCCAAATAGGAGTTCCATCACAGAAGGAGAAAGGAAAAAGGAAAGAGGGGGAGGGGATCAAGTTGATTCCAAGCCAAAGGCCAGGCGGAACAACTCTGTCTTACAAGCCCTGTGGAAAGAAATCAGATCCCGCGGGGCCCTGGTCTCATGAGGCAGAGCGTTCCACCAGGCCGGAGCCAGTGTTGAAAAGGCCCTGGCTCTGGTTGAGGCTAATCTGTAAGCGGGCATAAGCTTACAATCAAGGAGTATATAAATTCAAAGGATTTGCAGATAAGGGGGGTTCTGAAGAGGGATTTGAGGGACAATACAGGTGACAGCAGGGCCACGGGTGCAAGAACATGCCCACTTCCTACTGAGCCAGGTTCAAGGCTTTTGCATTCATTTACAAATCCCTGAACAACTTAGGTCCAGGGTACCCCGGCGGTCACCTGAACCCTTACATTCCAGTAGCAGCAGAACATATGTCCGCACTGCCCAGGGCAGGCGCAGTCCCGAGGGTTGTGTGGCGCGGAGGGTGTGTTGATATTTTCACCCCCTCCCATTGCAAGAATCTCCTGATCTGATGATTTGAGAAAGGAGGGGGCGGGAACTGCTCTTCTACTCTTCCGCTCCTTCCTGACTGCCTGATTTTAGAATGAATTGATTTTAGAATGTATTTTAATTAATTGATTGTGATTTTATGTAAACTGTTACTTTTACTGTTCTTAGCCGCTCTGAGCCCGGCTTCGGCTGGGGAGGGCGGGATATAAATAAATAATTATTATTACTATTATTATGATGATTAAGATTTTTTAAAGCGACACAGCAGCATACAATTTTTTAATGTAAACAAATGAAAAGGAAACACGGGCGGCTTTCACAAGTTGTGCAGAAAGGTCTCTTGCATGAAGGTGACGCCGAGTGCCATTTTTCTAGAAAAAGGGGTGCCAGAGCTCAGCATGAACTTCTCCTTTGTTGTCTTAGCATGGCAATGGCGCCCACCTGAAAGGTGCCGGAACTGAGCTTCGGCTGGACGGGGGGAGAGCTCTGATGACGCCCTTCCCTCCATGCTGAAACAAACCCTAGCATTGCTCATTGGTGTGACGGCTCAAGCAGAACCTGTGACGGTGCAGTTACTCATTAACTAAATTAAGAGAATCGGACCCCGAGGCAGGAGGGTACTCGAAGCCTGTCACACGGCGGCGAGTCAGGCCGAGCGCAGCCAGGGATATGCTTGTTTTCCCACCTCCTCCCTGCCTCTATTTGCGAAATTCCGGATCTGCGTTTCATCTCACGCAGGGCGAGATAGCTCCTGACCGGCTCCAAGGTTTGCTGGCAGGTGGAACGAAGAATTATGCCTCCTGGCTGGAGGAGAGCTCTATTTGTGACGCGCTTGCAACCCTCGCCTTACCTCGCCGGTGCCGGGAAAGCGATGTGAGCATCGCGTACAGTTGGCATGCTTCGGAAAGCAATGTGGCTTGCTCACCCCAAGGAGGAAAGGCAAAGGAAAGGCCATCTCTGACCCTGGGGAGACTAGAGATGGTGGTCGTTGGTAGGTTAAATATTGCAGCAGGTCTTGCAAAGCCACTTCCACCCTACAGAGGAGGTGGGGTTGCGGGCTTCACAGCTCCACCACGCACTTGGCGGCTGGAGCCCAGCCCTGCGCAATTGGGGAGATTCCTGGCCACGTCACACCCTGGCCAGCCAATCGGCTGGCTCTGGGGGCGTGCCCTGCCCTATTTAAGGCAGGGCACGGACAGGGATCTCCCTCTTTCCCCGCCTGCCAGCTGTTCCTGCTTTTTCCCACCCTCCCGCCCAATAAGGTTTCCGTTCCTTGACCTTGCTATGGACCTTGGTTGGTCGCCGTTGAGGGGCCTGGTAGGAATTTTTCCACTTGGCAAATTGGCACCAGCCACTTGGTTTTTGTCTACCTCATAGCAAATCGTCACAACTTTGTAAAGTTTGGTGGTTAGGCATTGGAATATTGCTGGAGAAGAGGGGAGGGGAGGTAGCGCCATCACCTGCCCCGCATATTGAAGGGTAGTCCGATAAAGGATTCCAGGGGGCGTGGCCCTGTCCGAAGCCTATGGAGGTGAGGGTCTAAGACACGTCCCCTATCTGTGACCCCGGGGGAGTTCCTAGTTGATGTGCATCAGCAGGACTCCCCTACTGGTGGTTAACCCTTCCTGGACTTCAAGCGTATGGGCTGAAGTCGGATATAGTCAGTTAGGACCAATGCCTAAGCCAATACCGCTCATCACCTGTAACCAATAAAGTTGTGGCCTTTTTTAGCCCATTAACCTTAATAATAGTGTCATGTGTCTTTATTTCCGCTGGGGGACGGGACTCGCCACGCAAGCCCTCAACTCCAAACACCCTGACTGATGCAAGAAATCAAGCTATGAGAAGATCTGCTGAGAGGATTCAACTCTCAGGAACTTTCTTGACATGAGGGTCATACAATCTTCTGCTTGTCCAGCTGCTTTCTCCCAGGAAACTTTCCTGCTGAATCAGAACAAACATCAGTCAATTTTTCTGAGGGTTGACGTTTGTTCTGATTCAGCGGTAAACAGTGGCTTTTCCCAGAGAAAGTAGCGGGATGAATGGAAAACCTCTCAAATCTGTGCTTTCTAGACACGGAACAAGTGGAATGTGCCCATGGATGTTGAAACCTCAATTTCCCCCAAATGGAAAGTTTCCCAGAACTTGCGACTCCCGCTCTGGTATTAAATTATGTGGATTTTAACACTGTCTGAAAAAACAACAACTCGTAAGTTTTGTGTTGGAGGATCATGAAAGATTCTGTTCTGTTTGACAGGATTTTATCTTCCATACAACAAATGCAGATATGCAGGACTCTCTCTCCACAACAGTACAAGGTGAAATCTGGTTTTCCTCATGGTCTCAAGTACTCTACTTACCTGATTTAAGTATCTGCCTGATCTATTGTGCTGCTCTTTTGCTTTTGCTTTGTTTGGCTTCAATAAAATCATGATTCTATGAAAATAAAATTTTTGGGAGGGGGGAATAAAGCAAGCGATAGAGTAGAGTGGGGAACTTCAGGCCTGGAGGCCAAGTGTGGCTCTCCAGACATCCCTATCTGGCCCTTGGACCCCTCCCATGGCCACACCCCTTTCCCAAGGCTGCAGCTCTGTGTCCTCCTTGAGCTCTCTTGCCTGGCTCGGATGTGTACATAAGAACAGTTCTGCCAGGTCAAGCCAATGGCTCATGTAGTGCAGCATTTTAGAATCACAGAATCAAAGAATTGTAGTGTTGGAAGAGATTGTCTTCCATAAACACGGTTTTAACAATGAGTCCATAAGTGACTGTGGAGGCCAATTCTGGATCCACACAATTCTGGATTCCATAGTGGGGACATAGGTTTATGGGCAGGAGCTGATCATGGTGTGGATTTGCCAAGCGTGCCTTCCTCCTAGCACATTTCTCCCTTGCGTCCTGAGTCTGAGCGTCTTCAGAGCCCATGACACCTTTGGTAAAGGCTGTTCTCCAATTGGAGCGCTCGCAGGGCAGTGGTTCCCAATTGCCGGTGTTTATACTACATTTTTTTAGATTTGCCTTGAGACAGTCTTTAAACCTCTTTTGTTGACCACCAGCATTACACTTTCCATTTTTAAGTTTGGAATAGAGTAGCTGCTTTGGAAGGCGATCATCAGGCATCCGCACAACATGACCAGTCCAACGAAGTTGATGTTGAAGAATCATTGCTTCGACACTGGTGATCTTTGCTTCTTCCAGTACACTGGCATTAGTTAACCTGTCTTCCCAAGTGATGTGTAAAGTTTTTCAGAGACACCATTGATGGAATCTTCCGAGGAGCTGGAGATGGCGTTTATAAGTGGTCCATGTTTCACAAGAATATTGTAAGGTTGGTAGTACAATAGCTTTGTAAAAAAGCATTTTGGTTTCCCTGCGAATGTCCTCATACACTCTGCACTTCAATCGGGAGAAAGCCGCACTCGCAGAGCTCAGGCAATGCTGGATTTTGGCATCAATGTTGGCTCTTGTGGAAAGAAGTACTTTCTTGCCTCTGTCCTCTGCATGTTTCCTTAGAAGTAAGCTCCTCTTTACTCAACAAGCCTTACTCCCCACAATGCACAAAAGTGTGCTTAGGGCTGTAGCTGTATTTTATTTTTTTCAAAGAACTCCACCCTGCCTTTCAATATACAACAATATACAACTCTCAATTCACAGCTCATTTTAGCAGCCACCAATGGCAAAACAATTAAAACAGCAAAATTAAAAGGGGAAACAAAAGCAGTTCAGTAGCAACAAGGCCCCCCAGGCCCTTTTGAATTCTACAAACTGCTGAGAGGCACTAAAAAGCAGAGCCTTTAACCCCACTTGAACGTTTTCTTCCTTTCTCCCTTAAAAGCGACAACAAAGATACCGAACTGTGTCATGAAAGGAAGGGCTAAAAATATCTCTCTGGTCAGAAATCTCTTAGCCAGAGTTGGGGGATTAATTTACAACTTGATTAGGGTGACGGGCGATGATAGCAGGAGGAAGAGGGGGAGAAACTGCCTTTGTT